GATGAATTTGTGTCTGGATTCTCAGTTCTGTTCCATTGGTCTATGTATCTGTTGTTGTACCAGTACCAGGCTGTTTTGACTACCGTGGCAGTACAATAGGTTCTAAAATCAGGTAGTGTGAGGCCTCCCACTTTATTCCTCTTCTTGAGTAATGCTTTACTTACTCAGGGCCTCTTCCCTTTCAATACGAAGTTGGTGATTTATTTCTCCATCTCATTAAAAAATGCCAGTGGAATTTGGATCGGGATTGCATTGTATCTGTAGATCGCTTTGGGTAGAATTGACATTTTCACGATATTGAGTCTACCTATCCATGAGCAAGGTATGTTCTTCCATTTATGCAGGTCTCTTTTGGTTTCTTGCAGTAGTGTCTTGTAGTTTTCATTGTGTAGGTCTTTTATGTCTCTGGTTAGATTTATTCCTAAGGATTTTATCTTCTTGGGGGCTATTGTAAATGCTATAGATTTGGTGATTTCCTCTTCGAGGTTCTCTTTGTTGGTATAAAGGAATCCAACTGATTTTTCAATGTTTATCTTGTATCCTGAAACTTTGCTGAAATCTTCTATTAGTTCCAGTAGATTTCTTGTGGATTCTTTGGTGTTTTCTGTGTATAAGATCATATCATCTGCAAATAGAGATACTTTGACTTCTTCGCTATCAATTTGGATGCCCGTTATTTCTTTTTCTAGCCTAATTGCTCTGGCTAGGACCAGCACAATGTTGAATAAAAGTGGTGCTAAAGGGTATCCTTGTCTGGTTCCCATTCTCAAGGGGAATGCTTTCAAAGCCTGTCCATTTAGGATGATGTTGGCCGTTGGCTTTGTATAAATGCCCTTAATTCTACTGAGGAATTTCCCTTCTATTCCTATTTTGTGGAGCGTTTTTATCATGAATGGGTGTTGGACTTTGTGAAATGCTTTTTCTGCATCGATCGATAAGATCATGTGGTTCTTGTCTTTTGTTTTATTTATGTGATGGACTACATTGATTGTTTTTCTAATGTTGAACCATCCCTGCATGCCTGGTATAAATCCCACTTGATCATGGTGAAATTATTTTTTTGGTATGTTGCTGAATTCTATTGGCTAGAGTTTTGTTGAGGATTTTTGCGTCAATGTTCATGAGGATATTGGTCTGTAATTTTCTTTTTTTGTGGTGTCTTTACCTGGTTTTGGTATCAGGGTTATGCTGGCTTCATAGAATGAGTTTGGGAGTAT